TGAGTGTTATTTAGATGCCCACTTTGCATTCAGCCGTGTTCGTTTCAAGTGTATAGTGTTGCTGGTAGATCTTCAGTCCTTGTTTTAATCAGACCATTGTCAGCTGCGCACCGCCATTTTGGTCGGCAAGTATTGCACGTCTGCTCTCGGCGCCGCCTCGTTTGTCTTCGTGTCTTCCGAATCCGCTATCTTGTTGCATCTTTTGTTTCGGTTTATCGCACTTCCTCACGTATGCTCGTAATTTTAATGACGCTCAAGGGTGGGCAGTGAGTTATGTTTTGTTTGTATAGACTCGAGTTGTAACCCACTTTTTTCATATTCGGGGGTGAGGTCCAACGAGACATGTACAACCGGTGTGTCCAGCTGCATATAAACAGGTTGTTGAGGGGGTGAATGAATGCAGTAGGGGCTATTGTTGTTCTTGGTCCCTCCTCTTCCGCTTTCTAATATTTTATGAAAGAATGAACATTGTGTTTGCACCTGTAGATTCACTCAATAAAAATAATTAATTCTGATGTACACCAAACATTTCCTTATATAGGACCTTTAATTGTTTCTGCTTGTCATTTTTTGAGAGCTGCGTTCATTAAGGTAAATGCACATTTCGCATCCTATACTCAATGTAATTGTGGAGTATTATTATAACTGTTTAAGTATGGAAAGCAGCTCATAGAGTACATTACCTTTGCCGCTTTACAATTAATGTATATTGAAATTATTAAGAAATATTTTAGAATCAATTCATAGAATATGTACAAATTTTGTCTGTTATTTTGGTTCGTACCAAAATTTACTTTATAATTTAATTTTGAAGACTTATGTTTTGGAAACATATTTTGTCTTTATGGATGCAATTAACACTCGTCTCACGTTTGTAGAGTAAACATGAATTATTTGGTAGATACTTTTATTATGATAAACCCCTATTACACGAGTTGTAGTTTTTATACGAAGTTACTATCGACGGGAAAATAACACTATCTTCTCGAATTTATTTGTGCGAGGAACTTCCAGAGCTATATATTTAAATAATAAAGCACGTACAAAAATGTAGGCATTTCTATTGTTCTCTGCTCATGATGGTGGTAATCCTTTGTTCCTCATTCATCTAACTTACATGATTCAGATATGCCTTGCTAGTCATACTTACGAGTGCATTAGAGCATCGAGGTATAAAGTTTAAATGAGTGAAACTTTAAATACTTTCTGAAGAGGATTTTTTGATTAGTTGGGTACATTTTAATACAAGCCACCCACGTGTTTGGTAAATCTTCAGAACCTAGCTGAAGCTAAATAGAAAAGGCTATTTTAATAAAACTGACAAAAAAATGTTATTTAATGGATCCCAGAAGTTGCTGTGCCCGACGTACGTTCCGGCGAAAGTTATTAAACGAAATGTTTGACTGACGACTTCAACAATTGTCCACTTTCATTGACATCAAATTGAGTTTTCTTTTCAATTTCATTACATTCCGTTTTGTGTTAAGTTTCTTGTTTTACGCTTTGTCATAATAATTTGTTGGAAATTGTTTTTTTAACGCAACATGCCCTTGTACGTAGTAGACATTATGTTTGTCGTATTGAGGTGCTTTTCTTTCAGAAGATTACATTGCAATGACCAATTTTACATTATTAACTTTTGTTCAGTTATATTAAGTTGTTATGGTACATTTGAAACAATGATAGAGATCTATCGATTTGTTTTTTACTTAAAACAATATATTACTTTTAGAATGTACTTGACTTTAATGTTGCTTCTTCAGTGACTTTTCGAAAAGACATTTAATTTGTTTGCACTTGGATTGTTTGCAGCAGCTTTTGCGGAACGTCTACTTGGGTTAAACGCTTGGAAAGGCGGGGGCACACGTGAGAGTAGGTAACGTGAGGCGTCACATTCGAGTGCGATTTTGATGCAAAAGCTTGAAATCGACCGAGTTTTCTTCGCTCAGTTATTTTGCTGTGCCATGATACTCCGCGCCGTTGTAGGCGGTCTTTTCCCCTGGCGGGTGACTTTCGAACATGAGCACGTGCACCTGCTCGTCCCCGCCCCCGCAATTGAGCGTGGGTTGTGATTCACCGGATTACTCGCATGGCGCGCGAGGGAGGCCGTCGGTCTGCGATTCGCGTACGGCGTACGTCATCGCGCTAGTCATAGTAATCGGCGCCAAGCGAGGGGAACAATCTCCCGAAATACCCGTTGCTTTCATGCGAACGCATGACTCGGGAAGGGAGGCTTTTTTTTCTTGGTGCAGCGCTCCGGAACTCGGAAAGGCTGGCGTGGAGTGCCTTGATGGCGGACACGTGCCTTCCTCTCCTCCCAGCGTGGTCGAGGCGGCGCGGCGCGGCGTGTCCTCGACCTCAGCCCCACCCCACTCCCCTCCCCCTCCCCACCCGAGCTCATTCACTTCTCGCGAAGATGCCGTCGGCGGAAGCAAAATGCATGACGCGAAAATACCTCGCCATAGAACTTCCAGAAGTCGGTGCATTTTCTGCCAGCCGCTGACGAAATAGTTTTCCATGAAGTGTTCAATGACCTTTCTCAGAATGTGCTTGTCTGCTGTAGTGCTCATCTCAAACTAGGCGAATGAAACAATTTCGCAAGTATGGAAATATATTATTTTTGGTTTGGGTTTCCTTTTTTAATTAGTTTTCCACAGGTAGTAATTAGTGCGTTTTCTATTAAATTTATACTTTGTGACGTTCTTCCCTCGTTATTCGATATTTAATGAACTTTATGTTCATTATTTGTAATTTCTGTTTGAAAATGAATAACAAATATATTTTTATTAGCATCAGATTGACTTTAAACATTATTTCAAACCCATGAATTGCGATGCGCTATGAAGTTGCAGAGGTGCAATATGTCAGTTTCTCCAGAATTGTAAACATTCTACATTCTCTTTGTAAGCGTTTCAAATGAAGCAAAATATAAATAAGATGTGTCTGCATTTTTATTTTTATTTTCGATTCCATCGTTTATAGTAAAGAAGCCACAAACTAGAGAGGAGTTAAACAAACTTTACAATTTCTGTAACTTTTCGCAATTTATTTATTTATTTTAACGCTCATAAAACTATAACTCCCTATAAGTTCGTTGGTTCACATTTTTTATGAAAGAAATTCGGGATCATCCGGTACTTACAGATACTAGTACTTTTTTTTATTTATTCTGGCGCATTTCCTGGGAATATATTTTCCTTTTTCTTCGAATGTTTGTGTACAAATATGGCTAGCAAACTTTCTAACTCAAATAAATACACTTCAACTTTTGATATCTTTTAACCTTTTGCATAATATTTAGCCTTTTGTCAGTAGAGCGGTCTGACATTTGCCACACAAAATGTTCAAAACTTGGGAGAATACGAGGAAGGCTTCGTAGAAGGGGTGCAGAAATGACCGTCGTAATTGTGTGTAAAATATTTCATGCGTGGTTGGAGAAAGAAACTAGAAATTAATTTCCAACTTGGTGCATTTGCATTGCGAAGGGAAGCGAGTGAATATTATAGGCTCCCTGTATATTATATTCTAACCCACCAAAACCAGCTCCGGACGTATTGCTTTTATCGCGTATTGATACCGATAGTGATAACTGAACTGAAGAAACAATTCCCTTGAGCGCGTTGAAACGCCTTTTTTTTCTGCCGTGTGTGTTTTCTTTCGAGAGCGCCTCCGTGCATTCCCGCCGCGCGTAAGTGAGCGGTAGTGGAAGGAGCCAGGCGAGCAGCCCGTGCGGCCGCGGCCCGCCGCAACGTCGACGACCTGTCTTCGCTCCTCCAGGCGGCCGCGCCGCCCTCCGCTCCCCTCCCTCCCCTCCCCTCCGCTCCCTCCCTCCGCTTCTCACCCTTACCCCCTCCCCCTTGCCGCGCTCCGTCTGTCTCTTTCCTTCCCGGCGCGCGCCGGCGGCCACCCTGCGGCAGGCGGCAGGCGGCTTTCCCCGCGCAGGAGACCTGACAAAGGGAAGCGCACCCGGGCCTGCCGCGCGCTTGCCTCGTGCGTGGGGCCGTTTGCGCCCGCACGAACAATGACCGAACACACGGCTAGGGCCCACGGCGGCACTCTTGGTCGCTCTTGTCTGTAAATTAGGTTCTAAAAACAATCTCAACTTCTCCTTAGGGATGGAACACTTCTAGCAGGACAAGTTAGCAGCTACAGAGCTTGGTGATGCTTTTTCAATTGCATTTTTACTTCTTTCATTTTACGATCTTTAAAACAAAAAATTAATATCGCTACCCCTTAAATGTTATCTCCTGGGCTGGAGCTGCCAAAAATTGATTTACGAACAGACTTCGCGAGGAAACTATGAAAACAGAAAGTATCTCTTCTATGATATGAAAGAAGTTACAAAGAGAACAAGTCATTCAGGCTTGTTTGATGAAATTGTGAAGTGTAAAAGACTTGAAAATGAGCCCTTCCGCTGACATCTGTAAACAATGTTTAGCTTATTTTAATCTGATGTCAAATATCGGTTCCTAGGTTCTCAAACGTAGATACTTCAACCCCTGTCAAAGAACTGAGTTTAATTTAACCAGCTGCTCCAAATGGCGGTATTTAAATATCTGACAAAAGTAAAGCAATCTAGCAAAATAAATTAATCTGTAATTTAATTTATCGAAGAAAAAATATTAAATTTGTAACAGTAAAATGAAAACAGTAAATCATTACACAAGAACTTTGTAACCTATCATCTAAACTAAACAATGTTTGTGTCTGTACCTTGAAACTGAAGTATGTAATTGACGCCATTCCCGTCTGTCGAAAAAGAATCCAAATTGTGACAGTGTTCCTGAGTAACAATGCATTTTATTTATTCAATTTGTCCGAAGAAGAAAATGAAAAAGCAACATTCCAGAGTATTGTCGGACTTTCCGGGGAAGTGTTACATTCATATTCCAATCGTTCCGCGGATGTTGTTCTTGCACCCCATCTAATTCCGCCGCGTGCAAGGCTTTGAGAATCTCTGATCTCAAGAATTCTTCGGGCAGTACGATGCCAAAGGTACAATGACGGAAGTGTTAAGCAATGGCATTCGCTACTTGTGGTTCAAGGTGGAGAGGAAGGCGGTCTTTCGAAAAGAGACTGTACTTACGTGAGTAGTACATTAAGGAAATTTTGTGTGTGTGTGTTTTTTATCTTTCCACCCTAATGACATTTTACGTGTAGTTCCATTGTCGAAAATTATATTTAGAAAGAAAGAGAGAACATGGAAGAGGAAACAATGCAACAAAACGAAATTTCCAATTTTTTGTTTGAAGCGGACTTCTAGTAAAGCATTACAATTACTCTTTTAAAATAACATTTTATATTATATGTTTTTATTTTTTAATTTGGAATAATTGAGCTATGTTGTAAGTACAAAACGAGCCATGAAATTTGAAACATTTTTTTATTCTGTATTATTTATTTAATAGATGTAATAAATTACTGAAATTTTCAATAACAAATCATAAGTAAAAAATCGATGTATGTAAATCATTTTATATTGGGTTCATATTGTAGATATTGTCTCATGTAACACTTTTTGAAGCACGAAAAAAATCTATATGCATTAATCCTAAAGTTATCTTTGAAACCAATTTGTAAATGAAAGACTTGAGAAAATGAGATTTAAAGAACAATCAACCACAAAATAAAGCGTGTACAAATTTAGATGTAATGGTTAATTGTGATGGTAACATTTCTAATTAGTGTTCAAGCTGTATGAAGTTTTTTATGTTTGTATTGTTAACTCTCCAAATGTGAAGGGGAAAAAGGTATTCTTTCTATTTTCCCTCCTGAGATTATTTGTTATGAAGGTAATATTTATTATCACTTTCATCCCAGATGACTTGTATTATATATCCTGATAAATCCATTTTTTTTCTTGAATGTCAATAAATTTTCAACTTCTAATAAATTTTGCTTTGATATTAATTCTTATGTAGACCCTACCTTGTATATTTTCTTCTTTTTTAATTTTTCCTTTTATAATTGTTTTATTATGTACAGCTACTTCTCTCTTTATGCCCAGTACATTTCAGATAATTTTGATCGATTTATTGAACATTTTCAAAACCTAAATTTACTGAACAATTAGATGATAGGAGAGAGTAAATCAATGAAGGAGAAGAGTTTGATGTTTGAAATCTGTATCGTTTGACTTCTCATTAGTTTTTTTTATAAATTGGATCTCCTCTGTATTAACACTGAACTGAGTCAGATGCCTCCTATCAATTGCATTTTCAACATAATCCACCTAAATTCTTCTTGTATTTTCCTCTTTTATTTTACTGTGAAAAACAAATGGTATTTTCACTACAAGAATGTATTGTAATTTAGGTTATATTTTGTTTTAGGGCTGTGAAAGCATTTCAACAGGTGTTGTACGTGGATCCTGGATTCTCACGTGCAAATGAAGTACATCTTCGCCTTGGGTTGATGTTCAAAGTGAACAGTGATTGGGAGTCGGCTTTGAAACATTTACAGTTATCACATATTGATGCTAGCCCCTGTACCTTTTCAAAACTTGAAAGTAAGTTGAAAAAATAGTTTTCCTTTTTTGGATCCTGAATATAATGATTTTGATTGGTTAATATTATTATCATTTATGTCAAATAATAATGTAATTTATGTATATTTAATTTATTAGTATTGATTGTACCAATCTTTTGTGATTTGCTTGATTTTTAAATGAACATTGAATATTTTGTTTATGTTTTACACTTTTAGAATCTTCATATAATCTTCAAGTGTAATGTGATATACATTTTGTATTCTATTTTGAATTTTTATTGATAAAAATGTTTCTTACTTAATAAATGCAAATATATTAGATAAATTTTTTGTAAAATTCATTGTTACATTTTAATATTAATCTGAAAATTCTAATTACTTTTCAAGACTAGTTTGTGGTGATACAAATTTTGTAATGTGTAGTATTTGTCATGTCACAAAGGTTACAATAATACAGACTTGATTCATGAAATTGAATTGATTAATTGTGTGCGACTTGTCAAAATTCATGTGCTTTTTCCAAAATATCTTCTCTGCGGAAACAAACAGTAATTCATGAATATTTTTAATTAATAAAGTTTGTAAGACAATTGCATGTTGTGATGGTTCAGTGTAAGATATTTCTAAAATCAAACAAATGATCAAAATAGGATATTTTAGTTTCAACTGTGCTAGGGAAATTTAATATAGTATGCTAATCTGTTGTGCTGCGTGTATGTTATTGCTCGATAATTTATAGTATTGGGGTTTTAACTGAAAATTATTTTTGAAGTATCAACTTGAGTACTTTATTCATATGTCTACCAATTTCTCAAAGTTGGCATCTTCATTGTGTGTTGCAGTTCGTTTTCATATTGCTCATCTGTATGAAGTTCAGGGAAAATATAAAACTGCCAAGGAGCATTATGAGCAACTTCTACGCGAGAAGGATCTTCCTACTCATCTAAAAGCAGATATATGTCGCCAGTTAGGTTCGTAAATTAATTTTGCTTTAAAAAATGAAAATCTTGTAATTATTTTGTTTTTCTGTATGCATTTCTTGTACTGAAATATAGAAATCAACTTTTATCTGTTTTCACTGTTTATTTAACTTACTTCATTCTTTCTGTCACTGCAAAGAAAAAAATCTTTTTAATTGTTGCTAATTCCAGTATTGTGACTTTTGGTTGTGTCTCAATAGGTTGGATGTACCACTGTGTGGAATCTCTGGGAGAAAAGAACCAGAGAGAGAGTTTTGCTATTCACTGCCTTCAAAAGTCAATTGAATCAGATCCAAAATCTGGACAGTCATTGTATTTGTTGGGACGTTGTTATGCAAGTATTGGGAAAGTGCATGATGCTTTCATTGCATATCGTAATTCTGTGGAGAAATCTGAAGGGAATGCAGATACATGGTGTTCTATAGGGTAATTTTCACTGCAAATGCATTTTTCTGTATAAATAGATGTAGTGTGAAAATAATGCCTTTTAATTTTCATTTTGCTGGAATACTATGTAATAGGAGATGCATTCAGTGGTTGTTTTTTTCTCAAACTAAAATAACTTGATTTCAACATCAAATTTTATTTTTAAGCCTCCAGCAGTTTTTGTGTTTTTTGTATATATTTATTTTTATTTTCTAAAAGTCATTCTTAATAATTTTTGATCTTGTTTCTTTTCTTTAACTAATACATGAAGTTTTTTTTACAAAATTGGTAAGAATGAATGTTCTTGTGACAATTGGTAGATACGTTTTTGGAATTAAACATCAATATTACTGTGAGGCTTTAATTTTGTTTTCATGATGTTTGAATATATTCTCTAAAAGCTTGTAGTATTAACAAATTTGATATTTATGAAAATGAAGCCAACTGACATTCCTATTATTTCCATAGAAATTCAGGCAAATACCATATTCTGGCGAAATGGTCTTGTAAACCAAAATAATTTTTAACATAAAGGGACTCAATTATTCTGTGTTTCACCCTTTTGTTTTATGACGTCTATTCTTACCATCTACATTCAAATTTATTCATGAAGCACCTTGAAAGGCATTAGTTTCACTTTCATATCGTAACTGTTTGGGAAATTGAAAGCATGCTCTAAATGGTGAGGGCACCAGTTAGCATTATTCCTCAATGTATACATTTTGAGTATTTTTCCTGTTAAATTCTACATTTTGCCCCTTAATCATTTTTATTTTAATTGTCTTACAAAATTTGGAATTCCAGATGATTCACTTCAAAAGTATATTGGACAGCATGTTAATATAAAAAATAAACGTATTGTTACTGTGAGTTCAGAAGATGTCATTTTTGTTTTTAAGTGTTTTACAAGGGATTTGAACAGAACATCTTTCTTTTTAAAACCTAAATAATTGTGAAGTTTCTGTATTTAAAAGAATATATTGTCTCGAGGGAAAAGGGTATTATTGCAAACAATTGTAATGATTCATTGTTAATTTAGGAAAATTTAAAATATACAATATTAGTAATTTTAACATAGTAGTGATGATAAGTGTACAATATTAATAATAATAATAGTAGTAGTAGTAGCAGTAGTAATAATAATAACATATTACCATAATGACAGTAAATTTGATGAACTAAATAACTAAATGTACCTTTGAAACACAAACATCGTAAGAATGTAAAAAAGTATAGATCAGTTTTGAGAACATTATCATATGGAAATGGTTTAGGTTGTTTAACACTTCAAATACTGTAACTAGAGATACTTACTTAGCATGTTTTCTTTCTTTCATTAGCCAAATAGTGAATAGTGGTGTATTTATTGGTGCAGTAGAGATCTGAGACATCTTGACAGGATTTAAATAGACCCTGGACAAAGTCAAAAAGTAATTTGGGAAAAGCTATTCAAGAAATTAAATTCTAGAACACATGATTAGTAGATAGGTAGAAACGAATGAATGCGTATGTAATTGTAGTAACAATGAAATTAGCATATATGTGAAATACCATGAAAATCCCAAACAATTGAGTGTTTTGAGTATGATTAAATTTGTATGTATAATGAATATTCTGTTTATTATTGGGCAAATGGTCTTCCTGAGTAATGGTATGTAAATGACTTCTAGTATATTAATCTTCATATCTCGTGTCTCTTTTTCTTTTCAACCTTTCTGTTTTTTAGCATGTTAATGATGTTTAATAGGTTTAAGCATTAAATTTTCACCTGTCATTTATTCCAAACATAAAGAGAATTGGGTTTTAGGAGAACAGCACTTCCCAAAGGCTTAGTTGACCCTTGTGGATAATATGCAGTTTAGAAATATCTACCAAAGTAATAAAAGTTCATGCTTCTCTGCTGTTTTTGCCCTGTTATGTAGTTTAATGTCCTTATATAAACATCACTCTTATTTTACCTGTTTATTTTGCAGTGTACTTTATCAGCAGCAGAACCAGCCTATGGATGCTTTGCAAGCCTACATATGTGCGGTTCAACTTGATAAAGGTCATACTGCAGCATGGACTAACTTAGGTGAGTTATTAATTAACATTTTCATTGTTAGGTTTTGCATAAAATAATATTTTGTAATAGGTCGGGAAAAAGTAAAGTATGTTTTGAAGCAATGGTAAGGATCTTTTGTCAAAGCACAAGTAAGGTGTGTATAGAACAAGCTAGACTAAGAAAGGACGATTTGTTGACACAGCTGTTGTCAAAACTGTAGATTATGTCAATGTGCTCAATTCATCAAGGTGTTCTTTTGCAGTTGGCTTTTTTGTAAGTGGTTTTGACACTACCTCTTGCAATACCATCATCCAACATGATGTTCATTTGTTTCACAACCTGTCAAATTGGTCCTTTTTTAGAGTAACTTCTCTATAATATATGTTGTTATGTATGGAGTTAGGTGTTTGTGAATGGTAAAATTTATCGATTAGATATTTTCTTTCCTCTTTAAGAAATTTAAAAAAGAAATAAAGGTAGTGTAAAAATTGAAGAAAATTTTTTTTTTGTAAAACATCAAAACTTGAATATAAATTTGAATTCAGAAAAGTTGGATTTTTACTAGAATTAGAAAATGGTTTTTTGGTTAGTAAGCTAATTTTTTGAAAATGTGTAATGTTAAAAAATGTTAATACAAAAGTAATCATATTCAAAAATAATAAAATATTGAAAAGAACTTATAAAATGTTGATACTGAGCTCATTAATGCAATATTACACTAGTTTATCTTCTAGTACCTATCTACAAATTATCGGGTGTTACTAAATTTTGTATCAATATTTTACTAGAATTCTTTTCTACATATTGGTGTATTCCATCACATGCATTATTTGTGTAATTGTTAACTACTTGGTCATCCTGTATTGTGTGAGTTTAAAAGAATATTTGGATTGGTTATCCAAATGTAAATCGTTTTTAATGGACATTGAAAATGAAATTATTAGTATTATAATAGTGATTATGTCTTTGTCAGATTTATTCTACACCGTAAAATATATATTTAAAAAAAATTATTTTGTTTCTTTCAGGTATTTTATATGAAAGTTGTAATCAACCAAGAGACGCCTTTGCCTGTTATATTAATGCAACTCGTGGTTCAGGGACAAACTCAGGGGGTTCAACAAGCCCAAATTGTAGTAGTAACAGTAATAGTGGAAGTGTGTCTTCATTAAACACTCATAGCCGAGCTTCAGGGGGGATGAATCCCAACCTGAGCCAAAGAATTAAGTTCCTACAAAGTCAACTAGCCAGTGCACCCATGCCGAGCATCACTAGCAAGTAAGTAGACAGAAATGTGAATAATGTTTGAAATGTTCTACATGATATGATATTGCCAGCAGTTTGTTTCTGCACCAGACATTCAGCATTCAGCGGGTAGTGAGCGATTGCTCACTGAAACCCAATTAGCACAGGTGGTCAGCAAATATTTCCCTCTTTCGATGTGCCACAAAAGATTGTTTGGGTAGAGCAAACACAAGAATATTGTGCGCTTGACAAAGAGCAAACAACTTACCCTAATACTGGGAATTTGGCAAGTAGTTGCTCTGCTCTCGCCGAATGCTACAAATGTGGCCCCAACTTATTATATTTCTAATAATGATAATGAATGTTGGGTAGAAATTTAGTGTGTAATGTGAACAATCTGGAGAATGATTTTATTATATTTTCAATAGACGTAGGACACTGCCATCCATAGAAGAGGCATGGAACTTACCAATATCTGCTGAAATGACGTCTAGACAACAGCAACAGCAACAAAATTCTACAATAATTCAGCAGAGAAATGCTGGTACTTTTCAGAAGGGCTACGTTCAGGTGTGTACTGACATTGTATTTAAGAATTTTGTTGGGGCTTATTAATTAAATATTTATTTCATTATTTGCAAATAGGCTTAATGGCCCTCTTCATTATATTTTACAAAGATGTATTACCTAGTAGAACTACTAATAACTATTGCACTAGTTACAAAGATATTTTAACTAGTACAATATAATAAAAATTCTAGTTTGTTAGTGTCTAGGCTTGGTGTGGTTAATAATTCATTAAATTGTAACTAATATCAATGAAAACCTTGATAACACAGTATGTTAATGTTAAATATGTTGAAGCATATGGTTGTTTTTTGTCCAATTTTAGAAGTTGTGTGAAAAGCATAATAAATTAGCATCATTTAATAATATTGGGAGTCTCATAATCGAAGAGCAAATATAGATAATAAGTATCCAAATATTTTTCTTCAGGAGACTTACTTTACTTTGTTATTTATATTCATATACAGTAGGAATTTTTGGAGTGAATGCTAAATTTTATTATTTAAAAGAATATTAAATCTTAAACGTGTAGTGTTCAATTGTCAAAGTTCACAAATTTGTTTTACACATGATTCATTCTTGTACATATTTTTATTTCATTGAAACATTTGATGCTTAGATACTAACTGATTATCTGACATTGCCCAGCTTTATCACAATTGTTTATTAAGCTGCCATACCCTCTTCTGATCTTCCTCCACTATTGCTCTGCTGTCTTCTTTCAAACTGTTCGCCAACTGCCTACCTACTCTGACATCTTCATCTATCCTGCCCTCATATGACCAGGAAGTTGTGCTCACATTAGTACAAATTTCCCTAGTGTCTTAACTGCACAGCCAGCAGTGAATCGGGTGTCTAATTTTTTCAATAGTTGGTCATCAGAGACCTCCAGGAAGTATAAAAAAATTGGCTACCAATAGTGTTATTTCATATTGGTTTATTTATTATACAACTTCCACAATGTAGGTTGTAAAACACATTTTAGTAAAAAAAAAAATTTAATGTTTCTCCCTACCACCATCACTTATCACCTTCTCTAAAATTCCATTCATGGAAAGGCTTGAAAAGAGTGTTGGGCTTATATTAGAACAAGTTTCACAAGTGTCCTGGGTTGCATCAGGTAAGCCACACTCTTGGCAGTTTTCATTTTTCTTATTAGTAGAGTAGATTTCAAGCAGATATCTTGAAACTCTTGATATTAACTGATATCCAGCAGCAAATGAAGTTATAAGCCAATGTTCTTCTCTGCATTATTATGAATGTTAGAAATATGCTTGATTCTCAGTTTAAAAATGCTCTTCTGTAAAGAAGTGATTTTGTGCCTTATGACTATCTCTGATGCAACCCTTCAATTGTGTTATATAAGTATAAGAAAGTAAAAATAGTTCAAATGCACTATTTTCTAATCAGTACACATCTAAGATATAATTGTAAATAAAAATATGTCTTTAGTGTAATAAAGAAGATATAACTTTATCAATTACCCATTGTGTGCAAAAGAACAAATTTGCCTTGTGTATAATGTGATATAAGTGACATTTAATCTTGCTATGAATACTGAAGTCTAATTAGATGCTAGTGTAGTGTTTAAACATTCCATCATTTTATATTCGAAGTGTTGGAAATGATTTAAAAATTAAGAAAGTGGTGTCTGATTGAGTAAACTTGTTCATTGGTTTAATTTACTGAAAATGAATGAGAACTGCAATGACTAAAATTAGAGAAAAATTTAGAGAATCAAAAGAAAAAAGTAAATCCACAATTGCAGTGAGAACTGGAAGACAAGTTTGTAGAGAAAGGGTTGTGAGCATTCCTAGCATCTGTTACTGCAAGTATAAATCTATTGTTTGTTAATCTAAATGAAAAAAATTATTGCTTGACAATTACACTTTTACTCATTAAAAATCAATAGAGAATTGTAGAGAAATGTGAACATGTCCTAGTAGAGAAATACCCATTAGAGAGAAGTGCCTGTTAGGAAAGGTTAAACTGTTATGTTAAACTCGTAGCCACCTAGTCTATTGTGAAATAGGAACAGGCAACATGGCAGTTACTGTGTTGTGTGTTATGAACATATTATATACGGAATATTTTCTACATTTTCAGGGTGGCCAACAACAACCCTTTCACAATGGGCTAAATGGCCATCAAATGTCACCGCAAGGTCCCCCTCCTCCATATCCAGCTCAAGGGAATGGAGCAGCAAAACGCTTTAAGGTAATTGTGTAATAAATTATACTTGAATCCAAAGCAATGAACTTTCTGTGAATTTCATCATTAATTTCAATTAAAATGTTTATTATAGAAAATACAAACTGTTTTAATTACATAAAATAATAAGTATATGTAAGACATACTTTTTAAAAATGCAGAGAAATTTGAATTTAATTTCTTTCAGCCTGGAGATGTTATGGAAACAAGTCCTCCAGCTGCACGAATGGGTCCAGCTAATCCTGCTCAAAGAACTGTACCCCCGCCATATTATTTAAATCAACAGCAAATGCATATGCTGCAGTACCTACAACAAAATGCTGCAAATCTTAATCCACAACAACAGGTACGTTCAGCAGTGTTACAAATAAAGTTTGTAAATTGATACTTTGAGTTTATACTTATTTTTCATAATATAATTGTTTCTAGAGTATTCTTCAACAACTACAACATCAGTACCGCCTCATGCAACAGCATCAGCTAAAATTACAGCAGCAACAGCAGCAACAACAGCAGCAGCAGCGTGTCATTAGACAAACACCACCTCCACAATATGCTCCATACCAGCAGCAGAGTTCAGTTATTAAAACATATTCAATGACTCAACAAACTGTAAGTATTAATTTCTGCCCAGAATTTATAATAACTTTGATAGTATTATGAGCCTTCATCCATGTTCTTTTTAGTATTTTAAATATAGAGTGAAAATAATTCATTGGACTTTATTATAGCAGGGTCCTGTCACTCCACAGACAGGTTTTGTGGATGCAACTGGGGGTTATGCGGCTGCCACACCCAATCCACAGCAGTCCCCTGGAGTACCTTACAAATCACAAACTATGGATCAGGTACCATATCAGAGTCAGCAGCGCAATAATCCACAACTGTTACAACAATCTCAGCAGTATGGCTTTAATAGCCAGCCTTCTAATGCTGGTTTCTCTCAGGTAAATTTTTCTCAAGGTTTTTATTTAGTGGAAAATTCATTTTGTGAAACATTTTATGCAGCACCCTAATACAGTGAAAACAAAAGAGAGAAATTGGTGCTCTCAATAATTATTTTATTGTATGGAAACTTCAGTATATTCAAAAGTCAGTTTTTAAGAATTTGTTTTACAGTATATTTGTGGAGGGATCTATTTTATCTTCTTTTATTTTCTTTATTATTATTATATTTCTTTGTTCTTGATTAATGTGATTTGAAATTGAACAGTACCATCGAGACACGGAATTGAAAATATTCATCGGTGGTTTGATTTTTCACTGCTGAATTTTGAACAAATTTCATAAATATCATTTCTTGTTTATTTTAGATTTCTCCCATTGGACCTCCTCATACAACTGCCCAAGTTGCTCCTGCTCACGATCCAGCTTATTCTTTTCATGCTTCCAATTCCCCTTCTTCGAAGGAATTGGGTGTCAGCGAGCAAGAATTGCAAGCTCTACTCTCTCAGAAAGATATTGCCACTTCTCTGGCTGAAGATCTTCTTAAACACTTTGGTTCAAGCAGTGATGAGTTGGATGTTAAAGATGAAGAAAACTCTACTGCAAGTCACATTGCTACATCTGCTAATCATTGTACAACCAATACTTTGAGTTCTGGCCCATTCTCTCCTTCAAATTTTCAAGAAGGAAACAACAATGGAGGAGTGACATTAAATTCTGCATCATCTGTCTCAACAGAAACTGTCCACATCAAACAATCTACCTCACCTGCAGCAATTAACCCACAGCCTGACCAGAAGCAGACACCAACACATGCAAGTTCTCCTAAATTAGATGGGAAAAATGAAGTGCCGACTGTGAAAGTTGAATCATCAGATAGAGTGTGTGATTCTCCAAGTATTGTGTCTAGCCAAGCAATTACGTCATCTTTACGACATGAACTGAAAGTTGAAGCTAAGGTTTTGGAACTATCTCGCCTCTGTGACCTGCAACAAGAACCTGAGTTCAGCATTAACATGGATGCTAAATCCATTCTAGATGCTTGCAGGTAAGTGCTCTGTATTAAAGCAAAGACTTCTTTACAAAGGTTGCAAAAAGCATTTTTATCAACTATTTATTTGTTTTTTTATTAAGAAAATTTTTAATCAGAAACTATACTCTTGAATTCCTGTACTTTCTTTTAATATTTTGCTTTTCTGTTTATTATATTTGTCTGTTTATAGTTGAAATAAGTGACAATGAAATATAACAGAATATCAAATCATTAAAACATGTTTTACATTTTTTAAACTGTTTTCGTTGTTTCATAGTATACTTCATTTAACTTGTTTGAAAAGTATAAGGAAATAATTTTCTTTTACTTTAGTGTAGATTCATGTTTCATGTATTTTTAATCTTGTTGTAAATTATTCTCTTCTTCAATATATTTGCAGAGGAAGAGGTCTGAATGGAGTGCCAAATTGCAGCATCTTGTCAGACAAAGCTCCACCCCCACAACCTCCAGATCCACCACAGCAACACCTCACAAAGGAGCAGTTACTCCCACCAACACCTTCTGTGTATCTTGAGAACAAAAAGGATGCATTTAGTCCTCAACTTCAGGAGTTCTGCCTGAAACATCCAATTGCTGTAGTTAGGGGTCTGGCAGCAGCACTTAAACTTGGTAAGAATCATTAACTTTGGTATTAGTATAAGTTTATATAATTTTATATATTCCGATCTTTATTAAAATCCTTAAAAAATTATAATATCACACTGCTCACGAACACAAAGTACTTGCAAACTAAACTGCAGTAATTTAAATATATTAACAAAAAAATCTTCACAAGTACTGCAATAACATAAGTGTAGTGCAATGGTATATGTAGTAAACTCTCCCACTATCATTTTTCTGTATCACAAATGAAATTACTTAGTACCATAGTACCCTATTATGCATCTTTTTCTCTCAGCGTAATGAACTTATGCCATGTAATTAGTGCATATTATGGGTTCAGTCATTCAAGATTTGGGGCAAATAAGTACATTTACAGTATCCTATTTGAAACATTGTAAACTTATGTTTTTTCCTCCTAAGTTCATGGGTAACTCACAAATGACGCGTGTTGATCACAAGTCAAAAATGAGTCAGAATTGCAGGCAGTTGATCCCCTTGCTACTATTATCCTATTCATATTTCTTGAGAATATATGTGCTGGGACATGCTGTTGCCACTTGTGCAAGCTGATACATGTATCCTCAATCATTGAAGCTCTGCATTTGATAGCAGCATCTCCTCTCCTAACACTACGTCTGTTAAATGTCAAGAAATTTAAGTTTGAGAATACTTGAAATTCTTATATTGCCCATCTATGCATTAGTTGTCTGTTTGTGAAACACCACTACAAAAACACCTGAATGTGAGTGGTCAATCATGCACTCAATTTTTTTAGTCCTATATAATTTCTAACAATGCCAGGGAAAATGTGAAAATGTTTCATACTTTTTTGTGTGAGAAAATTGTTCATAATTTGAAGAGCTCAAAACCATTCCTTATAAAGAACTCTTAACAAACCTCCCCAATGTTGGTCCTCTGGAATGTTCTGATAGGGTAGTTTGCTCAATATAGTTCAACAGTTCTTTACATATTAAGAATATAAAAAAATTGTTGTTTCATAACACAACATGTAAACATTAATGATTTAATGGTGGGTGGCCTCTTCATTGGAGCCTTGCTGTCACATGACATCAGCTATCGTAAGCAGTGACACACTGAGTAAGAGAATTCAGTTGGTATGGGCAGTTTGGGAATTACAGAATCAATTAATGTTGGCTTTTTTGCCAAAATCAATTCCGTTTTATTGTTTCTGTAACTGTCCCCAAGTTCCTGGATAATTAACAACCCTATAGACACCTCTCACGAGGCCAGGGCCTTCTTGCTTTCTTTCAACGTTTCTCTGCATTAAAAATTAATAAACTTTTAAAACAATTATGATAATTTAGATATAGTGAAGGTTTTATTTTCTGTAGATCTTGGTTTATTTTCTACAAAAACTCTTGTGGAAGCAAATCCAGACCATAGTGTTGAAGTACGAACTCAGATGCAACAAACATCCGATGAGAATTGGGATCCTCAACTAGGACGTAAAGTTTGGGCATGTATAAGCCACAGATCACATACAACAATTGCCAAATATGCCCAGTACCAGGCTTCATCATTCCAGGATAGTTTAAAGGTTTGTGTATATATTCAATTGATGATACTTTACACAATTGTCAGCATTAAAATTATTTTATTTAATAACATCACAAGGTTCTTATTCAAGAAGTTTGTTTTTTTAGGGAATTGTCTAAAGTACATTCTTTTCTTTTAGGAGGAAGGTGAAAGGTCTACTGGTACACATTGCAGCAATCTCTCAGATTCTGATTCTAAAGATTCAACAGGAAATGTTCGTCGCAAGGCTAAAGGTGGTATTGGATCACATTCTGGTGGTGGGAAAACTGGTCCTAAAATGTTAAGATTTGGAACAAATGTGGATTTGTCGGATGAACGAAAATGGCGACCTCAACTCCAAGAGCTCATGAAATTGCCCGCCTTTGCACGTGTTGTTTCTGCTGGTAATATGCTCTCTCATGTAGGCCATGTGATTCTTGGAATGAACACTGTTCAATTGTACATGAAGGTACTTATACTTGCGTTTCATTTTTCAATTGTTTATTAAGATGTTTCTGGGCATATTTTAGTCCCTATAAGTATGTATAAATGACTGCTCAATTTGTATTGCCTTGTGTGTTTTAATGTCCTTTTCCTTGCAGGTTCCAGGCAGCCGAACACCAGGGCATCAAGAAAACAACAACTTTTGTTCAATTAATATTAACATAGGTCCTGGAGATTGTGAATGGTTTGCTGTTCCTGATGCTTATTGGGGTGTTGTATATAGTTTGTGTGAAAGGTATATAATTTTTTGGTCCTGAATTATTGTAATTTGTTGTTATATTGACAGTTAAGTAGGAAATTTTTCCTCATAACTTTGATGTCATAAAATTAGAATAATGAAGTATTGATGTTTCTATTATTTATTTTTGAAGGCTACAAAAAAATTAATTAGTTTAACAACAGTATTTGGAATTGGCCTCGTATATAACTTAGTTTCAAAAGTAATTCATGTTAATAACTAATGAAAATAATATTCAAACATGTATCTTGATTTTTAACAGCATTTCTCACATTACAATTTCTTTTATTGCAGTTATTTCAATTCTTGATTTTTTTGTATTTAGAAATAACATCAATTATCTTCATGGATCGTGGTGGCCATCCTTGGAAGATTTGTATGAAGAAAATATTCCTGTGTATCGGTTTACACAGAGACCTGGTGATTTAGTATGGGTAAATGCTGGTGAGTGGATGACTTCAATTTTCTCTCTGCGCAAACAAATTTCCAAAACTTTTACCTGTATTAAGGGATTGAGAAGTACATTGTTTACTAAAAAATAAGACCCTTGTACTTTCTTTCTTTCTTTTTCTTCGTTTTCCTAAAAATGTCATTAAAAAATACAGTGTTGCACTATATTTGCAAGTTAAACCTAGTCAGTTAGGATTTTGACTTAATACTGCCTTTCCGTGCCAAGAAGAAACTTGAATGCTAATGAAACAAACATGTGCAAAGGTAGTGAAAGCCATGCATATGTCTAATACCAATTATATTCACGGATCTACTATTGGCATCCATCACAAATTTACCAGGGAATTCAGACGAATATTTTTGATAGGGTCCATAAAAAGAAAATCTCAAACGAATGACATTGTAGTAAGTGAAGTCCAACATGAAAATGAATAAGAATTGTTGCCTGGATTTTGTTACGTGGTATGCTCATCAATGAGGGCATGCAAATTCTCAGTTCGATGCCTGGCAAGAATGAGTCTGTTTTGCAACAGATTTAAAAGAAGAAAAAATGCATTGGTAATGATATCCACAGAGGAAGAATGATCAAAAATATTTTCTTCGCAAAAACTTCTCAAACTGGGAAGTTTGCGACTCTTTCCTGTATTATTTGTGAAACGAGAAGAGAGATGAGTTCACAGTTTACATTTTGATAAAGCAAACATTAAACAATGCAAATTTCAAATTCATTCTATTAAAAAATGTGAAAGAACAATTACAAAATCAGATGACAGGAAGAAAATCTGTTGACACATAAGAGAATGTTCTTACTTGTAGGTGGTAATTGATGAAAACTGAACACAAATTCAACCCCCAAAACTTTCAGGGGTGGTCTAAAAAGTGAGGATGACAATATGGGAGAAGGAACAAAGAGAAAGAAACAGTAACACGTGACTGAAAGTAGTGACAAAAAGTATGATTAATATGATTTTAAGGAACAAGAAAATGGTGATAGCTCAGGCAATACTGTTCTAACATTCTCATCAATAAGACAGTTTTGAAGTTCGTTAGAAGATTTGCAATTTTATTTTCAATACAAAATAGAATTTATTTTTTAAAAAATCAAGTTCTCTTTAAGTGGATTGTTTTGTATTTAATGTTGATGTGTATTCGGATAAATACAGAATGTATGAGTTGCAGCGGAGGAAAAAATTTAAACAAAGGGTTATGGAACAACATTTGAGAATTATGTATATTTTTCTAGGATTGTCTATTTTATCTTCTGTGTTTGGAATCCTATCAATTATTTTTCCTTTTGCAGGTTGTGTGCATTGGGTTCAAGCTATTGGATGGTGTAATAACATTGCCTGGAATGTTGGTCCTCTTACTGCTCGTCAGTATCAGTTAGCAATTGAGCGTTACGAATGGAATAAACTTCAAAGTTTCAAGAGTATTGTTCCAATGGTTCATTTATCATGGAATTTAGCTCGTAATATAAAAGTTTCAGATCCCAAACTGTTTGAATTAATTAAGTAAGTGATCATCGTTAATATAGAACATATATTTATGTTTTTCCTTGTTGAATTGTAAACTGTAACCTTGTTGTATTTTTTGTAAATGTTTGGATTTAATTTGTTTGTTTTTTGCAGAAATTGTCTCCTGCGAACATTGCGACAGTGTGCTCTGATTCTTGAGTTTGTCAAATCAAAGGGTGTAGAAGTACGTTTTCACGGTCGAGGCAAAAATGAAGCATCTCATTATTGTGGGCAGTGTGAGGTAACTTGAGCAATGCCACTTTATACTACTAGATTTTCTTTGAGAAATTCTTTATTATAATCAGTGTTCAAAATTTTGTTCGATAACTGATTATTATTCCAAAACACACAGTTTCTATATCTATGTATCCGCAGAAAAGAGGGATTATAAAATGTTGTTAAGTATAACAGTCATTGTTATTTTTTAACTAATACGGAGATAATTGCTTATTGCATAAAGAATTAAAAACTTACTCAGAATCAAACAAGGAGTATTAGATAAATTTCTCAAAAAGTTTGGAATGGCTCTCTGCATGAAGATTAGCAATGTTAGTTTACTATTCTTTGCTGTTCCACATGGTGTTCACATTCTTTCAAACAAAATATGTGCACTCATCATTTTAGCTTGGTTTCCAGGACAGAATGTAATTGGTTGATACTGCACGTCCTCAGGAGTGCAATACCTTATTTCTTGTATTATGATCAAATAGGGAAACATTCAAATAAAATTCAGCAGAAATCCAAATCACATAGTTCATTTATGTATTTGTTGAAACATTTTGGGAGTTAAATTTTTGTCTTTTGTTAAGTTGGTTTAAATTTCGTAATTCTAAATCAAATATTCCAATTTTCCATTGAATTGAAACTGCGTGTCGTGAGGAAAAGGCCTCGCCAGGTAGTGCTTCTTCCGGACTGCAGCATGTATCTGTTGTTTAGTAACTGTTACGTTGGATTTCATTATGGTTACCTCAATAAATATGTAAGCAAGCAGCAAAACTTTTATTGCTGCTGTTTAATCGCAGTATTAAAGATTGTCAGTCAGTAGTAATGTTGTTTTTCAAAACTTTAAAGTGTGCTAAAATATTAAATGTAAATCAAAATGTTTCCACATTCAGATCTCAAATTCCCAATGTTTATTTGATCTGAAAAGTCTCCAATAGACTTTTTAATATCTTCAAGTAGAAACTATATTCCAGTCATAAAGATAGTTTTAATATGTGGTTCAAAATTTATTTTTCTCTGCTACAATGTCTCTGATATACTGAAATATGCATTTTATTTGTTTAATAGATTGAAGTTTTTAACATCTTATTCATACGAGAGCAAGAAAAGCGACATGTTGTACACTGCATGGATTGTGCTCGTAAACAGGCACCTGGCTTGGAAGGCTTTGTGTGCTTAGAAGAGTATCGCATGGAGGAATTAATGGAAGTATTTGATCACTTCATGCTTCATCCTGTGGTGAGGATATTTATATTTTGAAATTTCAATAAAGTTTTTTTTCTACTCAATGGTATTGGTGAAAAAATTGACTTTTATGTTACTATTACTGTTATGCAAGTTTTATTTATTATTGTTTGGAATAACATAAATTTTTGTGCTATCACCCAAATTATTGTGGAATTAATTTCAAACAATTCAGGTCTTCTTATATGTACACTTCTGTGCTTTTCCAATCACTTGGTGTTCAAATATCGCTTCTTCATTAGAGCTGTTGAAAGTGAAGTTGATTAGCTTTTTCTAAAGTAGGTTTTGTTGATCACTTTTCCATACATAGAGGAAATTGGTTTTGAAATCCCCAGGGTTTGTGGTATCAACAACAAATTGCCCCTAAATAATAAACATAATCTTTGTTCATGTTAATATACCAACAATTATTAAATAAATTGTTAGAAATAATATTTAACTTATGGAAGTGAAGTTTTCAAGAATTAAATTAAAGATGTGAATTGAAATATCACATATTTGTGTAGGATATGATGAAAATTGGTAGCCTTCCTGAATTCTTTCTAATCTTGGAAGATAAGATTTGCAGGGTCCATTTCTCAAAGTTACCACGAGCTTGTGGGTTTTGGATGAAGGGGTTAAAAATGTTGGATTTTTTGGCAGAATTTTCCATTTTTGTTTTTTCTTGTTCTCATCCTCCTCCTCTTTTTCCCCTGATATTTTTTCCAGAAATTGATTGTGCTTGTATTTTAGTCTGGCTGATCTATCATAAATACTATGAAAAAACAAAATGTGTCTTGAGCTTCACAATTCAACAAATGCAATTTGACTAAATACCAAAATAGAGAAGAAGATTGATAATCCAGATTAATTGGGACCAGAACCCTTCTGGATTATCAAATTGAATAGATTGTCAAAATAAAACAAAATGAGCCAGTAGACATCTTTCGAATTAAAAAAAAATGACAATTCACTTTTATTGGTTCAAATATAATTGCTTGTAAACAATTGTAATACAATTTTTGAGTCATATTGATGCTTTTAAAGAAATGATTCACTTATTCTTTTTGCCCTTGCTGAATTTTTCTGAATTATTGATGTTCTACTGTAATAATATCTGTGAATTGCATTCTAAACAATTCTTCCTATAATATCTTGAACATTTTTTCCTCTTTCAGCAATGTACTAGTTCACAAGCCTTGGCGTTTTCATCCTGATGACCAGAAGATTTAGCAGTGTTTTTTCTATAATTTGCATTAATTCACATCCAATGTGAACTTTAAATTTATTCACTATAATTTGGAGACAGAATTCTGAATACTATGATCTCTTGCATTAGAAACATCTTGACAGAACAGCAATATAGAGAGAGTTCTAGTTTTCTTGTATGGTTGCCGTGTATTACAGCTGTGCTGGAAAGCAATGTAAAATCTGCTTTGTGTAGAAATCTTCAGCAGATTTTCTAAATTTGTAAATTGTATGTATAATGAACTGTGTATATAGAGAATGGTGACTCGATATTTCATTATATGAATACTTAAATGAAAATTATGACCATGGACTGAATTAATAATGATCGATCTCATAGGTTATGATTGTCTCTAAGAGTCATCCTGTTATTTAAGATGCGTCCAAATACTATGGAGTAACTGGGCATAGGATAACATATATTGTTAAGATAATGCTGAAAGAAATATTTTATTTATGATTGAGAGAGCGTGACATCAGTGTTGAAGGATAATGATGAACAAAATGTGGATGTAGAAGGGATACTTGGCATCACCACTCTTGTTTCGAAATGCTGTCATTTGAGGAGTATGCCTGATAAAAGAAGTACGATCTTCATTGCTTGCTTTACATGTTTATTTTTCCTCCCATATAATATTGAATGGTATGTATTTAAAAATACGTTAAGTATTGTCTCATTGGTATGCAGAAAGTAATGTATAGAGGAGTTGAACAAAGTGATGTAGAAGATATTTGATTATATGTATAAGGATAAAATGAAAACCATAGGGCATTATTTGTTATTTGATTCATAATGATTACTTAGATCTTCATTGTAGCCAGAAGATTCTTTCTTTTCTTTGTAAAATAGCATGTCCACTCAAGTGATGCAATATTTAACTTGTGATTTTTGTGATAAGACTGACTTTCACTGCCAAAAAGAACTGTGCTAACTTTTTCAAACAGAAATTTTATTGTAGCAAGAAAAGAAGTATTTCTTTAAATTCTGTGCAGTTACCACACCATTCTGTGCTATTTTCAGGTCTTTTAGTATTAATCTTGAAGTAATCTCTGGGGAAAGAGCTATCACTGCCACTAGCTTAATTACCTTATAGTGCATGCTTGTTACTGTTTTAGAAGTATATTAAAAATGAATGAAATAGATAAGTAACTTTCCTTTTGTATGTAAATAGTTAGGAAGGAACATGGAGTGTTGTATTTCATAAATGGCCTGGAGGTGTTTTGTATTGTAATTTAGACTGAAATCCCTTCATAGTACTGTAAATACTAGTTATTATACCATAATCTTGTGTATACAGATTCGTGAAAAAATAGAAGAAATTGAAACGTAAGAATTGTTTCTGTTGCCTTTGTAAAGCTTACATTTTGTATAAATTATTTTTAAAATATTTAAGTTGTGTATTTCAATGAACATCCAGAAATATTTTAATGATTTTAGCCATCAATCATGAGCTCAGCAAAAAATTCTAGTAATTCAGAAGCCTGATATTAATTTGTTTTCTATGTTCAGATAATGGTAAATCACATTTTTGGGGGGCTTAATTTTGTTACGAATACATGTCATTAGTTTTTTACAGTTTCAAAAGGACAGTATAATTAAATAGCTACACTTGGCTTATATTTATTGTATTTAGAACATTGGAGAATAATGTCATTGTTTCAAAACATTTCCTTGAAGTTGAGGATCGGCAATCTTTAAATTAAAAAATAATCTATTTCAATCTGTATTCTTATGTTTTTCTTAATTCTATTTGATATTCAAAAAAATATTTAAAATTTTCTCTTTTGAAGAATACCACTAAAGTTTGATTAATTGTATTCAGTGGTTTATTGTACTATTGTTACATTAAAACATTATTATATTTGTTCATAATTTTCAGGGATTGTTTCTAAATTGAAATTAGTTTGTTAGTGCCATCGCAAAGAAATTTTTGTTTTCTGATGTCCTATTCTAGTTATATATTTGTTGAGCCTTCAGGAAAGAAATGGATTGTTAAAAAGACCTCTCACATATATTGCTTTAGTATTTTATAAAATCACATGAAATCTTGCAATACAATTACATGATGTTGTTTTTCCAAGATCTTTTGTATCCAATAGATAATTTAGTTGATCACTTGGTTAGAAATCATTATAGAATTCTTCAAAATAAGCTTCTTAGACAGCTAGTTGTCATGAGAAAATATTACTGTAATGAAAAATTTCTTGGTAATTTGTAGAAAGAATTTGTTGAAAGTAGACAAATTGAAGTTGAGATTGCAAGAAAGGTCAAAAAAAAATTTCATAGAACTTTCTCTCCAATACAATTTTTAATAAATTTAAAGATACCACAGATGATATTGACATTCTTTCCTGCTAAATGTTTGTTATACCTGTTATCAATAACTATTGATGTCTTTGAGATCTTAAAACAAAGGCCTTTCATTTTGATACAGTTATACCATCACTTTACCTCCTTTGTGAAGTGAACAGACAGAAAAATTGTTGTTTTTATGACATGAAAAATTGTATTTTCTTCTTGGCATCTGAATGTTGCTAACGTGTATGTTTTGCACAAAGCAAATTTCATTTCCAACAGTATCTTTCATTTTCAAAGTATGTTCTTTATTGGAACATTACTTTGAAGATTTCTGGGTGTTTTTTATAACTGATACAGAAATATTTATTGTCTTGTCTCTTTAAAGTTAATAGTAGTGAAGAAGATAACTTCACATTGCTTATTGTTGTCACTTTATATACTTGCACTTGCTGATATTGGCTAAAGGAACATCTAATTTATTGTATTTTATATTTTTAATGTTGTTCATATAGCCAGCTGGTGGAAAAGATAAACAGTGATTTATCTTTTAGGATAGTTAAATTATTTGACATGTGTTTTGTTTCTGGAATCAGTTTAGATAATGCTACTTTGTTATGAGCTGCTGATGAAGTGTAATTATTAATTTCATTATTGGGAAAAACTGTTCTTGTTTTTAATATTTTTTTTACTCGTATTGTGTGCATTAATGGTGCACTTTAAATCTTTGTTCCCTGCTAGTGCCTTTTCACCCAATTTTTTTGCCATACCTGAATGAATTATTCTTTTAACAATAATTGATCTTTGAGATTTTGTGTGTTTGTAATATGTCTGCTGTGCATTATCATCAGTGCATTAAACACTATGAAATTTTAAGTCTTATTCTGAAATTGTATCCAGACTTCTGAGTGCCGTAATTTTTAGAATATTTTATTACTATGACAGTTGTCTTAAAAAGAATAACAATAATAAAGTTGAAATATTTCTCTGATGTATTGCATGAAGGAAATGTATTAATAGGCTGTGTCACCAGATATCATTATCACCAGATATCATTATCAGTTTATGCTAAACAATTACTTAAGTTAATATTTTCATTCACACTGATTGTAATGACAGTAAACACAATTTTCCATTATTTTTGCTTGAAATGAATGGCCACAAAAGGCAAAAGTAACACATCTGTGATGATTTTGAGCAAGTACTTTACAGCCATGTGTAGATGACATAGATGTCTCATACAAAAGCTTATGAAGGCTGACTACTAGTACAATAGTAACAAAAATATTCAAAATAATGTATTCTGTCCAATTTTATTGGAGAATGGATCATAGTGATTTGCTGCCAAGAAATGCCATCGGGTAACAGTTTCTAGGGGAAACCTCTTGCTTATTTAATAGCTGTGTTACGAAGAAAGATAAACAAACTTGCCCTAGGTTAAGGGTAAAATTCACTATTGATACATCCCAGTATGGACATGCCTTATTACTTTACTTACTGTGATTTGCTGAATACTAGCATTATAGTGGGGTTCCCATGTGAGAGTACTTGATATTGCTTAACATGATTGACACTGAAAATAATTTTCTCAAAGGTTCACTCCAGATTATAAAACACAGTGAACATTGTTTATGCAACATTTGATTGGGAATTTAGTTGCAAAAAATAGACTTTGGTTCTCAAAAAGTATGTATGTTCTCCAGTTTCAACATCTTGAATTATTTGTATTTTGACCCTAATTGACTTGTGTGAATCACGTTTCTTGAGATTGTTAAACCTTGAGTTCTTCATTTCTGGTCATGTGTCTTTTTTTGTGTTCTGATGCAAGAGTTATTTTTAAGTATTATCATTTGTATATAAATTTTAATTTTCTCCTAGGATTAATGAATATCAAATATGAAATTCCAATTGAATTAAACGTAATATTACAGCTTATATAATAACTTTATATTGCCACCAGTGTGTGTTGACTTGGTTCCTAAATATAATTAGCATTGTTTTTACTTGGTTCCAGAAACACAGCAAAATGTTGAAAAATGTAAATAGTATGACATCTGAACACTGCCAATCATTTGTGATAGTAATTTTGTTCTTAATATATAATGAAGGAATATTTATTGCCACTTCAAACAGAACACTGCCCCGCGTTCAATATAGGAATCAGGACATATTATAGTGGATGAAGAGAATTGAAGAGTTGAATTGATAAAGATGCTAAATTGTAAAGTGTAATTATTGTCGAAATAATTACATGTAACATCCCTTTGAGGATTTTTGTGGGCATTTATGGATGCTTGACATGTCTTCAAAGATATTACACGGCCTTCAATCTGATTTGTTTATTGTTAATACAATAGCATCTTTGTCTCTGCAGCCCTTCAGTTGTATTCATGAAGGAAGACCATGCAATGCAGGACATTGAAACAATTGTATAAACCGTCTTTGAATCCAGTGTATCACTGCCTACAAGTTGTGTGGATGGATGGGAGAATCATTCATACAAATGTATGTTTCACTACACAGCATCAAACAGTAATGTTAATGAACTTGAATTATTTTCACATTTATACTTTTTACGGGAGCCAATATGAAATGTGTTTTAATATAAAATTGACCTGCATTTCTTGAAAATGCCAATCGTGTGTCTTGATTATATGTAAATATTAATAGATATATCCTTAGGTAAATAAGTGTATATCAGTTGAATCATAGGATAAATTTAGGATGAGTAGTTGTTAACTCTAAAATTGAGTAGAATGAGAACCAGAACCCAACGACATTGTCGAAGAACACCAAACACTGAAAATAGACATGAGGAAATATGTTAATGTTGCCGATGTGTTACTAGTCAATTTCCTTTTCACATGTAAGCATTTTAATACAGGAAGAGATACATATTCATATCAGAGCAAATATTTATGTATGATATTCCCATTCAAAGTACTGTATGGTTCTCAAAATGTAGTCACAATGGTAATGCAGTTGTATTCTCTTCATCCATATAGGTAACATACATGAACATATTTTACTGTATTCAGTGCCTTCAGTAGTCCTTTATACTTAATGATAACATGTACATTGTTGATCTCCATACCTACCAAACTATGTTTTGCCATTTTATCACAATTCTTTTAAAATGTGTATATTGTATAGTGTCAGTTTAAGTGATTATTTCAATGTTATAATTTGTACATTGGTTTGTCTCAGAAATAAAGCATTGTAATTATTGTTTCATTAAATCATTTAGCCTTTGTGCAAATATTTAATAATGAAAAGAAAGTAGTACTATTTTCATGCTTAGTTACCGAGGAAACTTTTGATAAAGTGCTTAACTTATTAATGCTGTTCAAATGTTTTCATAGTAATTATTTTATTAGGGAGGAGTTCATTTTTATCAGTTCCTTGGAAATGGGATTTGATACTATATGAAACTAGTTATATTGCTTACTTCGAAAGTTTTCAATTTTAAAAGATTGCATTTGACATATCCCTAAATAATAAAACGTCTGTTAAGTGTTTAGCACTCAACCTCTCTGTCCATGGTAATACTGTGCCTATATTATGCTTTATTTAGTTAAAATATGTTTTTCTGAATTATTGAAGACGCTCTGGTGGGTGGGTGTCATTGACAATTGTCCGTGAGCCATGCAAGAAGTTTCTTGACTCGGAATAACACCACTAACTGTCTGCAGTACATGCCCACAAAACCCACAAAACCATTAATGTGGGAAAACAATTTCCATTCAATCATAACCGTTTGGTCAGGAAATAAAACATTAATGCTGCCCATGAAAGCGTGTTACTTGAAACCTACAATGTAGCCTATTCCATGCACAGTATGCTAACAATTGGTTCTTTTGGACTGTTCATGTGTACAGTTAACTCCAGTTATGAATGTTATCACAATTTTAAAATTAACGCCTGCTCAATGGGCTTCAGAACACGGGTGAAAGTTGCCAGAAACGTGCTGACAACAAATGTTAATGAGTTGTTCCAAAGATTTTAATTTACATTGCTAGAATTTTCAATTATTACAGTTGAGTTCTAAAACTGCCTGTTAATTATTATTTTGTTTCAAAGTGACACCCTTCTATTGGTTGAGCAGGTGCATTATAACATCTGTTAATGACAAAATATTTTCATTCTAATAGAAATAAAATTTTAGAATATCATTTGAAACTTGAAATTATGAATTTTTGTTTCAATATGGAAGATGACATTCATTTAGGAAGGGACTTAATTTGTTTTGAACTTTGTAACCAAGGTGAAGGATTTAAGTTTTGGTTATCAAGTATTTCACTATTCTTAATTTTTGAGGAGCATTAGAGATTTTGTAGAGCACCGGCAGCGTGTAAGCGACTCTGACGGTGTAATGCGCTCATGACAATTCATATTATATTCGCACGTTTTCTTGAGCCCCGGTGTATTCCCACTCCTTCACCACCAGTTCAATTAAGAATAAATGATAGAAACGAGCGTTGTAGATCTGGTAACGAGAAATGTTCGCTCTCGTATATTAGAAACTATTTTGCATGGAAAACAACTACAAATTCGACGTAAAATTCCTTTCGTCAAAATAACCAAACTCCCCACTCCTCTTGTATCTAGCGGAGCGAGGGCTCAAGAAAACGTGCGCGTAAAATACCACCTCCACAGATTAATTAAATCTCGAAACATTAACGCTTATTAACAGCCTATCGCGAAGTTTGTGTCACCTCGAATCGCAAGCAGAATCGATCTTCTGCTCATGCGCAGTTCAAGTTTAGCACCATTTTAGTTCATATTTTCATGCGCAGATCGATTGTGTTGAGACTATGGCCTGCACAAACTGATTAACATGTTCGTAACTTTCGAAAAAGCCAAACCATATCCCCGCGACTTAGTGTGAATCAGATGAACGACAACGCTGAACCCTCTGTATAAGATAGTAAACAAATAATTGCAAGCTGATTGCTTCAGGACAGGTCACATGATGTACCTAAGCACATAGCGAGAGAATGTTAGAGTCGCTTATACGCTGCTGGAACTGTAATCAGGCGTACTTCAAATTATCCCAAAGAATTCTACACACGGACCAATTTGTCCGCCTGACCGTCGGGCAAACGAGATTGGACTCTCGGTTTCACATTGTCCGACCAACTGATTTTACTTTCTCGCTACTGCTACCGCGGTTTCTTACGTAAGGCTTCGCGAAAAGGCGAATTTTCGGCAGAAAAACTCTATTTCAGGGCCCTGGCAGCGAAAAAGTAGATAAATCTAGATGATACATTTAGAAAAAAATTTCTAACGCTTGGTATAACTAGAATCCGCTAGGCTCGCTACTCCCGCAGGCAACAATTCCCCCCAGATGCATTGCAGATTGGATTAAGCCAACTTTTTGTTAAAAAAAAGAGCATTCCTATAAATCTTGGGAGTCAATTTCAGTACATTTTTTGACATGTAAAGGATTAGTCATTTTAAGTGGTAAAAAAAACACCATCTCAAACAAACAGGCTTTAGCTGGATAAGATGGTAAAAAGTTCCCCCGCTTCAAATCAAAAAGTAAATATGTTCTAAGGATTGTGACCACGAAAAACATTTTTTCATGGACTTTTAGATTCCCCCCTCCCTACACATTCTTAACAATAACGAAAAATGTGTAGTTGTTTTTTGTTTGAATTGGCAGAATGAATTTACACTGAAAATAATGATTATTGATGATTAACTCCTTTCCAAAAATACTTTTTAAAATTGATTTACTTAGAAATTTCAAATGAATTTTAAAATTTTGAATTTTTTAAAAAAGGAAGATTTAATTCCGCCGGGTGCACTAGAAAATTTCCAAATGTTATCCTAAAAATCAGATATCTTCTGGAATTTTTTCAGATACTTCTGATTGGTGCGCCATGTTTAAAAACCATAAAATATTATTTACTGTACAAAAAAATCATACTGTTGAAATTAAGCACCATTTTCTAAACAACGTCTACAATTTAAAAAAAAAATGCCAATAATGACGAGGTTTTACTGTTCTATAATATTCTTAAAATATATTTCGTTCCACTATAAGAATGGCCTTAAGCTGGCTTTACACTCGTAAGAAACTGGCGAGCAATATTTCGCAAGAAACTTTGCCAATGTAAACATAACGGCAATAAATATTTCTGATGTTGGCAATATTTCTTGCTAGATATTCCGGCCGTAATGTAAACCCGTGTGTTTCCACCTTCGGAAAGATATTGCCGGCTGTTGCTGGGACTAGAATTGGAATGAAGTATGAGCAAGATATTGCTGGAAGAAGCTAATGTTGACCACTGTCACATACGCAGGACGTATGTACGGTAGTACATAGACGTAATATTTCCACTTTAATATGCATTTTTTCGTAAAATAGGTGTATGAAAAAGGTTTACGACAATAAAAGAAGTCATAAATATTCCCTCTATGGTTGATTATCAAAGGTTCAAATTTTGGTTCAGCTTTAGATTCCCCATGATTATTAATTTTTTACGTTAAAATTATTTAAATATTAATCTAATTGAGATAATAATTTTGCGAAAAAATGCATATTAAAGTGGAAATATTACGTCTATGTACTACCGTACACACTTCCTGCGTATGTGACAGTGGTCAACATTGGCTTCTTCCAGCAATATCTTGCTCATACTTCATAATAATATTTTTTTCAATTAGCGCCAAATTTTTTTTTATCGCCGCGTGCTTGGTACTTCTGGGTGTGAAGTTTGTACGACAGATGCAAGCAACACTCAGAAAATCTTATCCATGCATGTAGCGAAGAAATACCAAATTCAAAATTTTCTTCTTTAATATCACGTTTTAAAATAGCATCAGTGCCATTAAAATTTGTTGATGTTGCGTTGCAGATAGAACAATTGAGCGGAAGTTGTCCCAGAGATCGCATTACAAACTTTTCCGTCTACCATGGTTAATCATAGTTGGTAATTAACAATTATTGTTTTTCCGTCGATACAGTCTTTAAAAGGGACGAGTTGTTTCTGTTGCTCTTTCACATAGTCGACTTCTTTTAAACTGTTCTCAACATTTTCGTGCAAAAATTGTATACGAATAGGTTTGCAATAACGAGGAGAGGATGGTCGCGGATGTTTCCGTAAGATAAATTCTTCATCACTTCCTCCAGAAGCAGTGATGATTTGTAGAGGCACAAGCGAAGTGAAAAATATACTCGAATCTGAAAATTTTTGTTTGTAATTGCTCTGACCAGAAGTGCCATCACAACCCGATTTGCAAATCAGATTGAATTCATGGACCGCATTTATATCTAAGCTCTGAATTACTTCTTTTTTAATCAACGAAATACGTTTTGCGATATGATCTAATAATGACTCTAATTTCACTTCTGCTTTGCTTTCGGTTATGGTCATATCATCTTTGTTGGGATAACATTTATTTTTTTCTTTATGAACTGCTTTGTAGGAAGGAAGTATTTTGCATTTATTTTGTACACATAAATTCCGGAGTCCCTGGTATTGAGATTTCGAAAATTTTTGTTCTGTCAGAACAGAGACAGCAGTCACCTGACAGTTGCTTTTCCTGAACAAACTCCAAAGATAAACGATATGCGCGTGCTGAAGAGGATGAATCGGGTAATGCTACGTCACTGGCTACTTTCGCGGCGTCGGTGGATCCGGTAGCTCGCAGATTCATTTGCAAAGCACACGCCAATTCCGTCGAACTTGTCTGCCATCGAGCTGAAAATATTTTCAGCTCGTCTGCGTTTCGATCATTCACTTAAATTTTCGAAATCTGTTGAAGGACGGCCTGATTAGGAACAAAAACTATGTAATATTTCGTACGAAAGAAATATAATCATAATAATGAGATGCAACTGTACGTACCTGTATCCACTGGCGTTGTTTGAATCGGTTGAGGTTGTGTTTCGAAAGAAACGCAGGTAGAAAGACATTTTTCGTTTTGTTTTAAAAATGCATTCACTCTCCTTTTTACTTTCTGCCACCTTGCTTTGATGTCGGATATTAGTTTACGAATGACCGAATTACTGTTTTCAGGAATTTGATACGCATAGCCTATTCTTTCAGATATATGTTCCTCAATAATAGAGATGGCATTTCCTGAACCTTCGTTTAAAATTCCTTTTAAAAGAAGGAAGACGTCTCTGGAAATTTGTTCAGCAACATTTTATAAAAATCACAAAAGAAATTTACTTATAATGTTATACCTACATTAAACGTACAGATTTCAATTAATAATTAATTATAATAATAAATAATTACATGATTTCGATGTAAAAAACGTTGATTTTCTAAACTAAACATATATTGTAATGGACCACGCGACACAATTTTTACGGTGCCGCTGTGAGTCACACTATCATAGGGGAGGGGCTGCCGACACACTGAAGGTGCGACGGTCGTTTCCAGATACCAGGGGCACGCGCTAAATTTATTAGGGAGGGCGCCAAGCGTATGCCTACCTGTGATCTGGGTGCCGGCCATGAGGCATCTGCAGGGATGAGCGCCCTGGGTCGAATGGGTTGCATTTGCTTACTAGCTACTAAATAATGCACATTTTTCTTCTGTGGCCACCCGACCAAAATGGGGGGGGGGCACGTTTATTGGTACAGTGAGTCCTCTTTTACATAATATTCCCTTTAGGGCTTTACTTTGACTGTTAACTAGATGAACGTGAACACTTACGAGAATGGATGAATGGATTTGTGATACTTCACTCCGAAGGATTACACGGCAGATATAGGCCGGTGGTAGCAGTTGACCCGCTGACCAAGCTTGACCAAGGACATCTCCTGTAGTCGGCAGGAACACGTCGCCTGGCTGGGCAGATCATCCAAGGCCGTCCGCGGGATTGGAACAGCAACTTTCGATGCGCGGGTCACAGGTCGTCATACGTCGCCTGGACCGCATACTATGTTTGGCAGCCGAATATTTAGGCTGCACACCCTCTCGTGTACTTTGTGGATGTTACGCTAACCCTTCTAGCCCGGCATCCGGAATGCATTCCGATGCGGGAAGATAATGGCTGAAGACTATCGACAGTTTCCGTATGGCTGTAATCGCTGTTGAATCACGATGGGAGCTCCCTGAGCCAACCGCTCGCCTCAACAGTCTTTTTCTAAGTGTCCGTCCTTCTAGCGCCTTGTGCTCACCCCTCTCCCGTCCACACCCCTCTCGAAAAGTGCCCAATCTATCACGTCGCGAAGCTTTCCGTGGGCTAGTCTTCTTTGGAGGCATGTGATTTATAGTCGCTTACGCATTTATGGTGGGCTGCTCTTGCCTCTTAATGTAACAGTTTTGGTTGTCAATCATCTACTGCTACACAAAGTGGTGGAATGGTGCCTTTCGGGGACGGACGCTGGCTGTGAAATTCTCGGTTCGCGGAGTGCACGCAGCTGCGCGTGGCGTATGTGCAAAGATGCACTCTTTGCCTAGAAATATGCTGATTGATCGTGACGCGAGGGTCGCGATGTGCAGGGAGTCTGTATGACTCATTGCAATACACCTTGCATTTTTCAATAATCACTGTTTTTATAGTTATGATTATTTATATAATTATCGTGATGATAAATTAATCGTGTTATTAATTTCAAGATTAAACATTACATTCATATAATTTAAAATTATGCGTTGTATTTTTCAATGAATTTTAAAATGATATATGCATTTAATTACATGTGAGAAAGTTATCTATAAATATTTTGTTTATTGTTACTGTACGATTAAGAAATTGTAAATATAATAATTATTAATTTTAAATAATAAGATTAATTTTCAAATGAATTATTCAGAATAAATAGAAAATAGAAATCAAATTTGTATATTCGGTCATTCAACTTTAATGTTTTGTTTACTTTATTATTATTGTAATCATAATTATTATTATGATTGTAATCATACATAATTGAATATTTTCTAATTACTTATTTTATGTTTTACAATACTTAGTATATTAATCACTTAAAATTCCATATATCAGACGCCGAATAATAATGTGGTTAATTCATTATTTCAGTTTTTAGCTGAAAGTTGCAGTCGCTTTAAAAAATTGGCACAGACATTCGAATAGCAGAATAGCAGGTTTTTTTTGTTTGTTTGTAATGTCATGCTAAGTTTTTAGCCCCGCACAACGGTGTACCCTTGTTGTTTTTCAGTTTAAACACAAATTATTTATGATAATGTGTCCATTTTTATCAATAAACATAAATTGATAAATTAACAAATTAATTTTAAACAAAGTAAGTACACATATTATGTTTATTCTTACTCTCAGGAATAGATTCCGTTTTGAATCGTTACATTCTGCCGACTGCACGCCTTTCTATCCCTTGAAACACGAAGGCTCTGAAAACACGTTTCTCTGCTGACTAGTATCGACCTTTGAGGCCCAAATTTGAACTGGTCTCTTACGTTAGGTATACGAGAGAAACCGTTACTAACTGCGGAACTCAAAGGTTCAAATACCAACCTATTAAACTAGCAACGACAAAATCTCCATATAGTAAGTTATTTTTTTACATTTGGCCATATTTCGACAGGCTGACGAGGCCTAAAACTCGGACCCTCATGATTAAGGATTAAATGATAAAAAAATGCCAAAGGATCACTCTTATGAATTATTGTTCTCTAATGGGAAGTTGAAAAAAACAACATAAAATAATATAAACCATATGGGATTTTAATCCCATCCCTCTAATAATCATCTTACATTGTGATGTATCCAAAACAATCGCAATATTTTGGGACTCTTTTATTTTATTAGGAAGAGACAATAGATAGATGAACCTTTTGTAGTATCTACGGGGATGCGGCGAGGAAAAATAAAGAAGATGACGTTAGAATAGAAAGGGGCCGTGGGGCGGAGAGAGATGCGTGATAGATAGCGTCGGCCGAGTCTAAAAGATTGGAAGGATTATTCATGGTGGATTTTTTTTGTCCATGAATCAAGAAATATTGTTATCAGCAATGCGGAATAGTGAGAAGCAAGTTCACATATTGCCGGCGTTGGGCGTGGGATAAAAATGTTAGGACATCGGCGCGGACAAAATACGAAGAAAGATCTTCGTGGCGACTTCCACCAAATTCGTTTATAATCTGCTCATCATAATTCCCGGACAGTTTTAGGTCTATGATGAATTAAATTTGAAAAAAGCGCGTTCATGTTTACTCTGTAACCAAAATTTCGATGTGCTGAGTGTGCGCTCCGTGAGTTGAAGAATCCAGAGAATATTGTGAGAACAAAGTCCAAGATCTTGTATGCGACGAGCTATCAGGAACTATTTTACGTACACTACGTATTCGAGCTGTACTGTATTCGTGTGCTTTGGTTTCATCTGGTCTTGTTTATGTCGAATCGGTGTTTCTGTGACTCTAATTTCTGGGCGTTTCGCGCAGCAAATTTCATAGTTTAAGATTAAAAATGTCAGCAGTGTAGGTGAATAGTTTTTTTCGTCTGTTGAAACAATCATCTGAGTTGCTGCCGGCTTCAACTACGTTTTTACAGCACGTCAAAACGGTATCATGCCGGAGTCTGCGGAACAAGCGTCGGGCACATCAGTGAGTGCAACTCCTGGAAAAGATGCAAAAGAAAGCATTAAAGAGAAGAAATTATCATCAGGTTCGTTGGGTGGAGCAGACGGAGCTAGACCAAAAGTTGTTACAGTGAAACATCCAGAATCCAATAAGCCCAAACCAACTGTCAAGAAAAACAAACCCATCTTGGCAGATCTTGACGTTACCAAAGATTTTCTGAGATGCAAAGAAGACGGGGTGACGAGGCTGGATTTAAGCAAATCTAGTATCACTCAGTTGCCATCAACAGTACGTGATTTAACTCATTTGGTAGAATTCTACCTTTATGGAAACAAGCTTGTGACTCTTCCCCCAGAAATTGGATGTCTAGTCAATCTCCAAACTTTGGCACTGAGTGAAAATTCTCTTACCAGTTTACCTGATGCTCTTGTAGGCCTGAAATCACTTAAAGTTCTTGACCTCCGACATAATAAATTGAATGAGATACCAGATGTTGTGTACAAGTTAACATCGCTCACAACACTCTTCCTTAGATTCAATAGAATTAAAATTGTGGGTGATGACATCAGACATCTTACTAATCTTACCATGTTAAGTCTAAGGGAAAATAAGATAAAAGAATTGCCTGCAGGTATTGGTAAGCTTGTAAATCTTATTACTTTTGATGTCTCTCATAATCATTTGGAGCATTTACCAATGGAAATAGGAAACTGTGTGCAACTATCTACTCTGGATCTTCAACACAATGAACTTTTGGACATTCCTGAATCAATTGGAAATTTACAGTCGTTAATAAGGTTAGGATTGCGATATAACAGGCTAAATGCAATACCCAAATCTCTCAGTAATTGCATTCATATGGATGAATTCAATGTGGAAGGTAATGCAATTTCACAACTTCCTGATGGCCTATTGTCAAGTCTTTGCAACTTGACGAATATAACATTATCAAGAAATGGATTCACCTCATACCCAGCAGGAGGACCATCTCAGTTTACTAATGTAGATTCCATAAATTTGGAACACAATCAAATTGATAAAATTCCATACGGAATATTTTCACGTGCCAAGAGTTTGACGAAACTAAACATGAAAGAGAATCAATTAACTTCACTCCCTCTTGATGTGGGTACATGGTATAATATGGTGGAATTAAATTTAGGAACAAATCAACTCACCAAAATTCCTGATGATATTCAATGTCTACAGTGTTTGGAAGTTCTTATTCTCTCTAATAATCTATTGAAAAGAATTCCTGCAAGCATAGGGAATTTGAGAAAACTTCGAGTTTTGGATCTAGAAGAAAATAAAATAGAAACATTGCCAAATGAAATTGGATTTCTTCGTGATTTACAGAAGCTGATTTTGCAGTCAAATCAAGTCACAACACTTCCAAGGGCTATTGGGCACCTGACAAATCTGGATTACTTAAGTGTGGGAGAAAATAATTTGACTTACTTACCTGAAGAAATTGGAACCTTAGAAAATTTGGAGTCTCTCTATGTCAATGACAACCCAAATTTGCATAATTTGCCTTTTGAGTTGGCTTTGTGCAGTAATTTGCAAATAATGAGCATTGAAAATTGCCCTTTGTCACAAATTCCTCCAGAAATTGTTGCTGGTGGACCCTCCTTAGTAATACATTTTTTGAAGATGCAAGGACCATATCGTGCTATGTAATTTGTAATGTAGAAATCATCGTCCACTCTTCTATATTGATTACCGTTTCCTTGATTGGGAAACAGTTGAGTGTTTCAGAATACAAAAGGTAAAATCGCGTCAGCTGGGCGTGTGGAAGGTTTTAGTGTTTCTTTTGTGCATAACATGGAAAAGTTTAAAAAATTTTAGAGTTAAATATTGAGTGTATCTAGTATTTACACACTTTATGGCAATTCATTTGGAAGCTGTTGCATTTTTGCTTAAGTACTAGAAATATATTCTTTGATGTTAATGACGATTCATTGTGATGCAGTTACATCAATAGTGACATATTATTATTATACAGGATTGTAATATCAGCTATGAGTTCTGTAAACATTGCTGAAATTTTTGTTGTAAATATGAATTGTGTAATATGGAAGCAAGCCGTGTATCTTCTGTGTACAAACCAATTTTCTGTAAGTTTTATATCTGCTAATGGGTAGTGACTGATGTTTTTCTCTGTGATATGTTTATGATAAATTTGGATTACATGCAGAGGTATCTTTATTTGATTTACAAACATCTTTGCATCTTCTCAATTTCATGCTACGTCCAGAAGGATTTTATAGTTATTATTGCAGGTCATCAGACATCGATGTTAGAAAAAGATTTTCATTTAAAAGGGTGATGTCTTTGCCATCTGATTCAGTATTGCATTTTTCAAACACAATTCATTCATAAGTCATATGTTTCTCTGAGTCAATGTTTTAATACAATATATTGAAAATTGTTTAAGGGTGCAAGTAATAATAGGGATCAAAATGTTGTGATTTGTGGTAATTTTAATGGAAATAAGTGTAAGAGGTGTATATAAAGGAAAAAGAAAACTAAAAATCATAAACTGTTTTTATGGTTATGTACATACAGGTTTGAAGTGTGAAAGAATTAATGAAGCCTAGGAATATCAAATGGAAAAAATACTGCTCAAGTTTCTTCAAATGAATTGAATTGATTTTTGATTGGGTATTGTTAGTATTTCTAAATTGTGCCAGTATTTAGAGATATATTCCTTTTTCTGATCAGAATCAAATGTATAAAAGTTTGAACACTGTATAATAATTTAATAACATTGTATAAATTTGCAACATATCCCTATTTTTGCAGTTCAGTGTTAAAATTTGTTGCAAGTTGCACAATAATTATTGTTAACAACAAATGTTATTATTCATCATGTCAGGAGAATTATGTTACTTAAACATTACAAATGGAAATGTATTTACATTCCAAAAAATGTGATAGAATTTTGTTGTTTTATTTTCAACAGTATAGAAATATTTTGAAATCTTGGAGTAATATTTAAATTGAATTGGTGAGAAGAAAAACATACATATTCCAGATGAAAATGCATATAGAACTGAGATAACCATTTTGTTTGCTATTCATATACATGCCACTGAAATATATTCCTCTGCTACAATCAGTGAAATAGTCATAGAATAAAGGAAACATGATAATGATTAGCTGAAAAGAAAGTTTAAGGGTAGTTCAGAAAAAGACTGATCTACTAAAATGTTTTATCAAGAAGACTTTATTTTCTGCAAGTCACGTAAAGAACTTTGTGCACCTTCAATCTTATCTTAATTCTTGATTTTTATCAAGTACACTACGTACACTACGTAGGTATTCTGAAAGAACTGAAGTAAAACAAGTATATTTTATACATTTCGTTAAAAAATTCTCATTTTTAGTACATTTTAAGTAAAAAACAAAAACAAAATCACTTGTTGCAAGTTTTAAAAAAAGGAACATGCCACTGCCAGACTTGGTTTTAGATGGTAAAAACCTTTGTTAATAAAATATTATTAGTATTTTAATTTGAATTGTTTAGTCTTTTCTACTTGCTGAAAGGTATACATTTTCAGCGCTATGTTGTTTTTCAAATGTATATGGTGGGAAATTCATTTTTTCAATTTCCTGAAAGTAGAGGTTTGTGGAATATGAACATTTTTCTTACCACTAATTCAGTTGGGCAGAGGTGCTAGTCAAATTTTAATTTTAAATAATGATAATTATTTTCAGTGGCAAAGATTCTTCCTTTTTGAGCTTCTTGAAAAATAAAAGTTTGAAGTATTTAACATTCAGACAATAATAAAGATAAAATTTGTAAGTGTATCATTGAGTTATCCGTCCTTAGGGTTTGATGCACCCACAATCCAAACAATGAGCTTTTTGTTGAACCAAAACAAGTAGGTACCTCTGCAAAGATAAGGAGCATTCTCTGTATTCAGGCAGTGCAATTATTGTATTGAGTTGAACCAACCTCGTATTTTCTATTTACTGAAAAATTTAATTGACCACATTTACATATTTTATTACTCAAAGATAATCATTTTTATTTTGTAAATTATTTGAAAAGTTGTTAGTTGAATCATTAATTGACTTTGTAGGAAGGAAGATGCTGATAGGAAAAAAGTAAAATCCATTTTTAAAGCAAATGAAGTATTTTAAATGACTTTGCAGTGATTTGTGACCAGATAAGATGACAAGTTGAGAAGAATGGTGTTCGAAGAAAATTTTTAAATATTTTTTTTGAAAATATTTGGCTGATAACTTTTTTCTCTAGAATAATTAAAAAACTCAAATAGAAGTAGAGAGATGACAGTACATTTCTGATTATACATAGTCAACTTGTATTAACAAATATATTGAATATCATTGGAGAATGAATTATGATATTGGACAAGTCAGTTTACTATAATTACACTGTTTGCCAATTCGTTGTGTGCTCTTGCCTTGTTACTTGTGACACACTAGTGCTGCTTCCTTGTTTTTGCTTGTGTTCATATTCCTTTTTGGCGTTTTATACTAACTGAATAATGTAATGTTATTCATTTGTTATTAATGGAAAATGATATAGACAGTTATGTTAAATAACTTATGAGATTCATACTAATCAGGACAGAGGGTCAAAGAATTGACTCTGTACAGAGTATTAGAGGTTGAATTTTACATTTTAATATTTTAATATGTACTCAAAATATTTAATGCTATTTGAAAGAAAAATGGCGGCTGGTCCGCTAATGTTGAAAGTGGGAAAGGCACTTCATTAAATGTTATGTACATTATGTAATTTAATAATGAATAATGAAATATTGATTTATTAGAAGAAATATAATGATAGAACAATATTTTTCAAACAATTTATCTACATTTTAATTATTGTAAAATAAAAATTTATATAGTTTAAGGTAAAAAATCAGCTACAATTTTTAATAGCTTTGTTGCATTTCGTGTTTCTGTGATACAGAGATAAATGACTATCATTCTACCCCTTTCTGTTTTATTTTTAGAAAAAAATAGGTCCTCTATTTTCAGTTTTGGTACGTTTTCTCCAAGATGTGAAGAGCCATGGTGAGAGTTAATGGGTAAAGTCTCTGTTCATAAATATGGGAAAATGTTTATATATAGTAACTTTTACTGTGTTATATTTGTTCAACAATCAGCAGTTCTACCTATGGATGTGCATGTAGCAGATAATTATTCATATATAAGTTCTATATTTGATATTTTTTCCAAACTTAAGCTATTGTATTTGGATGTTTGAAATATTACAATGCTTCCAGGGATCATAAGATTGATGTTCTTTTATCAGATATCTTCCACTGAAGTTGCTTTCATTCACTCTAGTTGTCAATAACCTTCAGATTTTAACAATACTTTGCATTATGTCTTTTTGTTAAACTTAAAAAGTTTCTTGTGTAGAATGCTGTGATGTTTTTGTAGTCTCTTGTGTTTATGACTGTAATATGTAATTTTATTCTTATCCTGTGAGTCTTACATATTCACATCTATTGCAAATGTATTTCCAGTCATACTTGTGTGCAGCAGTAGCATTCTGTGACCCATGTATTGGGGACTTGTCATTGCTATAATTGTCTCGCTGTGATTAATGAAATCCCCTGCTGTACACTGGTTTCAATTTCCTAATATTTCAAAGTGTTATGTTAAAATATGGATTAACTGATTTCTCAGTGTTTTTGTGGATTGTTGTCTGTGTTCTGAATGTCAGTGTACACTCTTTAGAGCTTCCGTTGTATTCTGTAAAATGCAGAATTTTGGCATATACAAGACAGGTTTGTCCAAACTTTGGTGTATCTTTGTTGCAGCATGTGTAAATTTGTGTCTCTATGATGGCATGTGTGGAAGATATACTACTAACGACTGGGAGAAAATTTAAAATGAAAAGTGTCATTCAATTAAATGTTTTCATGTTTTTTTGTTTTATGTACCCTGCAAATGTCACGTGTTAACAGTATAATAAAAAATTGTCTGCGTACCACTAAGTACATATATGCTGATCACAAATGTGTACAACCTGTCAATCCCTTTGACTGTTCGTTAAAAAGAACAAAAAAACAAAACAAAAAAACAACAACAAACTGTCATGTGGATGTTTTGCAAAAAATGTAATGTTGCATGACCTAACTCCCACATAATGGAGATTTGTGTGGTTCTATAAAGTAATCCATCCTACCTTTATATGAATTTACCCGTGAGAAATCATGGCCACTTCATAAAGTGACCTCTATGCTATTACTTAAAAAATCTGTTCTATCCATAATGTGTACAGAGATTTTTTTCATGAAACTGATTCATCTTGCTGCAATGCTTAATTAAATGCTAAGACATTATGCTTGTAAAATTGCAGTTATTGATTTGAAAACATCTTGCATTAATGTGCATCTTTGTATGTGAGAACATAATAAGCATACATAATTGTGTATATGTATATGTAACAGTGTTCTGTTGTATCACATATGTGATGTTAATGATTGTTTTCAAAAAAAGTAATTTGTGTCAAGTGAAAGGTGTTTTGTTAAACATAAGTATTATTTGTGAAAGGTTAGTCATTATTTACTCCTGCACAAAAGAAAAACTATTTAACTGTAAAGACTGCAAGCAGTTATATCTGCTTTCATTACTCTGTAATACACTTTATTTTATATCAGTCATATTTTGAGAGAAGTAATAAACCAAAT